ATCTTCTGTTGCTTTCCCAGGCCGTAGCAGAGAGCTGGATCAGAAGTGGAGCAGCCAGGACTTGATCCAGCCCCCAAATGGGATGCTGGCACTGCAGAGAGCAGCTTTACCTGCTATGCCACAGCTATGGCCCCAGTAAATAAATCTTAAAAAAAAAAAACACCTCTTGGGGCCTGGCACTTTGTCAAGCCACCACCTGCAGTGCCAGCATCCCATATGGGTACCCATTGAAGTCCTGGCTGCTCCACTTCTGATCCAGCTCCCTGCTGATGTGCCTGGAAGATGGCCCAAGTTCTCAGGTCCCTGCATGTTGCTCCCCCACTCACAGAGGAACGACACCGGACCCTGCGCTGTTCTCTTTGCCCGGCCCTTCCCGGGTTTGCTGCCACTCCCCCCCCCCCGCCTCCGCAGAGGGGCAGCACCCCCACCGCTTTCCCCACTTCCATGGAGGAGCGGCACACTGCCGGCCAGCTCTCAGGGGTCTCTCAGGGGTCTCTCAGGGGTTCCTCAGATGTTCCTGGTGCATGTTGTCTCTCTCCTCCTTTATAGTCCTCTTCCACCAATCCCAACTCTGCTGCCCACACACCGAGCACGCTGCTTTCCTCCAATCAGGAGCAGGATCAGCTCCTGCAGCTTATTAGTTGAATTGGTGAGGCAGCTGTGTAGAAGTTGTTTACTCTCTCAGCGCCATATGATGGGAGATCAGATGCATAGAATTAATCTTAGCAGTTCCAGTAATTTAGTCTAGTCTCGGTTGCTCCCCACACCTGCACCCACATTGGAGATCCAGAAGAAGCTCCTGGCTCCTGGCTTCAGTCTGGCCCAGTCCCAGCCAGTGCGGCCACTTGGGGAGTGAACCAACAAGTAAAGATTCTCTCTCTCTTTCTTTCTCTCTTTACTTCTCTCTCTCTCTCTCTCTCTCTCTCTCTCTCTCTCTCTCTCTCTATATATATATATATATATATATATATATCTGCCTTTGAAATAAAATAAATCTTTAAAAACAAAAACTTCTTTTTCTGTCTCCTTCTCTTTGACTTTCAAAATAAATAAATCTTTAAAAGAAGTCATTTAGCATTTATTGTCTTTATTTAATTTGAAAGAGGCACAGAGAGAGAGACAGAGAGACATCTTCCATCTGCTGGTTGACTCTTCAGTGCAGGGCCAGGCCAAAGCCTGGAGCCAGGAGCTTCTTCCAGGTCTCCCACGTGGGCAGAGGCCCAAACACTTGGGCCATCTGCTGCTGCTTTCCCAGGCAGTTGGCAGGAAGCTGGATTGGAAGTGGAGCACCCGTGACATGAACCGGTGCCCATTTGGGCTGCTGGCATCGCAGGAGCAGCCTTACCCGCTGCACCGCAGCACTGGCCCCTGCTTCCTCTCTTGACGTGTACAAGACTCCCTTTGCTGGATTCCTAGTGGTTTCTGGGCAACGTGTGTGCTCCACTGTGGGTTTTGAGCGTGTCAGCTCCTTTCTGCCCCCATCCCAGGCTCTGTGTGATTCTGTGTGTGACTTACGCTTCTCTCTCCTCCAGTGCCTGCGACTTCTCACCCACACGTTCAACCGAGAATTCACCCAGGTGCATGGCAGCATCAGTGACTGTAAGGTAAGCATTTCGACATAGCTGTCATTTTAGCCCATGCATGGGTGATGGGTTTCTCCGCAGCAGCTCAGACTTCGGTCCCAAGGTGATGCTGCTTTTAGGTGGCGTGAGATGGGCATTGCGTTGCGTTTGAGAATTGATGGATGCACCCGTGATATTTGTTGGGATTTTTCAGAGTCAGAAGACTGAGTGAGTGATGGGAAGTGCTTCGGCTTTCCCTGAGTCCCTTGGAGGAGAGCACTCTGCAGGAAGGTGGTGTGGTTCTGTGTGGCAGGGCTCGAGGAAGTCCTGAGGTTCTTGGTGGCAAAACGTTTTGTTGCCTCCAGTGATGAGCCCAGTGAGCTCTTCAGGGAACTGTAGTCTCATTCGCTCTCTCAGCTTGACGTTTTTCGCTGTTCCTTGGCCACCCATCCTTGCCTCAGATGACGGTTCCTTTGCCTGGAGTTGCCTTCTTTTTTTCACATTTTTTTCTTTAAGATGTTTATCTATTTATTTGAAAGGCAGAAGGAGGGTGGGGCGTGGGGGAGAGAGATCTCCCATCCACTGGTTCACCCCTTGACGTGGCTGCAATGACCAGGGCTGGCACAAGCCAAAGCCAGGAGCCAGGAGCTCCATCCTGGTCTGCCATGTGGGTGGCAGAGACACAGATAATTGGGCCATCTTCCACTGCTTTCCAGGCACATTAGCAGAGAGCTGGATTGGAAGCCTAGCAGCCAGGACTTGAACCAGCATTCCAATATGAAATTCAGGCTGCCCCAAAACCTGCCCCTGGAGTAGTCTTCCTTTTTTTTTTTTTTTTAAGATGTAATTATTTACCTGAAATTCAGTTACAACAGAAAGAGGAAGAGACAGAGAAAGAGCAAGCTTCCATCTGCCAGTTCACTCCCCAGATGGTTACAATGGCCGGGATTGGGCCAGGCTGAAGCCAGGAATCGAGCTTCTTCCAGATCTCCCACATGGGTGTAGGAGTCCAAGCGCTTGGGCCACCCTCTGCTACTTTTCCAGGCACATTAACAGGGAGCTGAATTGGAAGTGGAGCAGCCAGGTCTCAAACTGGCACCCATTAGATGCTGGCGCCACAGGTGGTGGCTTTACCTACCACCCCAAAATGCTGGCCCTTGGAATAGCCTTCTCCCAGATTCTGTCATGATTGGCTCCCTTTTTTGTTCATTTGGGTTTCTCCCTTTCTCTCTCTCTCTCTCCCTTCCTCCCTCCCTCCCTCATATTGGTTCCCTTTTGACTTTGATTTTTCTGCTCCATATTGTGTCCTTGGAGTGGCTGTCCATTCCCCCCAGAAAGAAGGCTGATGGCTCCTGAAACTTCCCACACCCTCACTGCCCAACCCCTGTCAATGCTGGTTGAGGGGTTTGTTTTCTGCCTTCTCCGAGTGGGCAGGGCCTAGGCCATCTTCTTAAGACACTCATGGCTGCCCTCTGGAAGGTGCTCAGACGTATATGTGAGATGATTTAACTCGTGCAGAGCGGGAGGCAGGGCAGTGGCAACACGAAGAGTTAGCCTTGCCTCTCATATCTGGATTCCTGATGTGACACTCAGGCTATAAAATATCTAGAGACTGGGGCCAGTGCTGTGGCACAGCAGGTTAGAGCCGTGGCCTGCAGCACTGGCATCCCATATGGGTGTCTGTCTGAGTCCTAGCTGTTCCATCTCTGATCCAACTCGCTGATGATGCACCTGGGAAATCAGTGGAAATGGCCTAAGTGCTTGGGCCCCTGCACACTCACATAAGAGACCTGGAAGAAGCTCCAGGCTCCTGGCTTCGGCCTGGCCCAGCCCTGGCTGTTGTGGCCATCTGGAGAGTGAACCAGCAGATGGAAGATCTCTCGATCTCTCCTTCTCTTTCTCTGTAATTCTGCCTTTCAAATAAATAAATCTTTAACAAAAAAATATATATCTAGAGGTTTTCTTCCATTTTTATTTTATTTCTTCGTTGGATACATAGGCTTGTTTTCTTGCACGCTCTGCAGCAGGAGAGTGGGGAAGTGGGGCGCTGGTCGCAAAAGGTCCCAGTGCAGAGGCAGCTTGCTGCAGCTCAGGCCCACTGATGCTGGTGTTTGCTTCCAGTTGTCGGACATCTCTCCGATCGGAAGGGACCCCTCCGTGTCCAGTTTCAGCAGCGCTACCCTCACTCCTTCTTCCACCTGCCCCTCCCTGGTGGACGCTAGGAGCAACTCCTTGGATCAGAAGTAAGTACTCATGTTCCTCCCAGGAAGCCGACCTGAGCTCCGAGGGAAGTGCTGCCCTCCTCACCTCCGCAGCTCTCGACGCAGGGCAGCACTTCCCAGGCGGCATTCATACAGGACGCCCAGTGGCTGGAGAGGCTCCCGACAGCAGTCATTGCTTAGTAACTTCTCCTTGTAATCCTGTTCTACTCTTTCTGTCCTCCTGATCCTACGCTCGCTTGTCTCCCCAGTCATATTATGGGACATAAGAAATCCCATCCTGGGAAAAACATTTTGAAACTATGGAAAAATTGGTTTGATGCCACAACAAAATATATAAGTAAAAAAATCAATAAAATTTAGCCCAGGTTCCATGATTCACTGTCATAGTCACCTCCTGTCAATGCACCCTCAAACTCTCGCCCATCTCCATTCATTGTACACATCTGTCAGAATGACCTGGGTGTCACCCACCTGTCTGTCTTCTGTACCAACACTGATGCGGTTGAATGTGGCTACAGGCAATAACACACCAGGTTATCACATCGCATTTCAGAGGTAGCAACTGTAAGAGGTTATTTTACGTGCTACTGGGAAAGACAACCAACTGAATTCAACATGCCATTGATTCCAAGATACGGCCCAATTCAAGAGATACTAAAGTAGGAAGAAACAGGCCTTTTAGAATCAGGGAGATAGTTAATTAAGCAAAGCTGCTCCACAAAGATACCTTACAATGCATAGGAGTTTGTTGTTCATGTCATAGTCCTGAGGACTGGGCCGGGTTGGTGGCGCAGCTCTGCTCTGTGCAGCCATTCAGAGCCCCAGGGCCAGGCACAGATGGATGAACTCGCCCAGAGCTGCTGATTCCTGCAGTCTGGCTTGGAATCTGAGAGTTTTTAGAAGTTTCCCAGGTGGAGCTGCTGCCAGGGACCACACTTAGAGAACCACCAAAACCCAGAAGGCAGGAGAGTCCCTGTTGCCTACACCAAGGTTCAGAGAGCTTTGGAACAGGAAGAGGGACTGACTCAGTGCTCATCGGTGGTTGGCTCCCTTACAACTCTTGAAGGAGGACCAGTGGGATTCAGAATGAACTCTGTGCCACCAGCTTGTCCTCTCTGCCGGGCACTCAGCTTACAGCTGGTGTTCAGGACGAGGCATGGTTCCTGCTGGAGAAACGGCACGCCAAGGCCTTACCTGAAACTCTCACGACCTCTTTCTCCCTAACTTCTCTCCTTTCAAGGACCCCAGAAGCCAATTCACGGGCCTCTAGTCCATGCCCCGAGTTTGAGCAGTTTCAGATTATCCCCGTGGTGGAAACGCCCTATTTGGCCCGAGCAGGAAAAAATGAATTTCTCAATCTTGTTCCAGATATTGAAGAAATCAGACCAGGGTGAGTACTGTGTTGACCAGGAATGCAGGTATAAAGAATCAACATGAATAACTCACTTTGAGCTCTTCTAAAATCTGTTTTGTATGTAGTCTAATGCACTTTTTAAAAAATTATTGGGTTTTTCTTTTTTCAAGTATTCATTTATTTATTTATTTGAAAGGCAGAGTGATGGGGAGAGAGAGATCCTGCAACTGCTGGCTCCCTTCCCAAATGCCTGCAACAGCTAGGGCTGGTCCAGGCTGGAGCCAGCTGCCATGGGACCTCCATCCAGGACTCCCACACTGGTGGCAGGGACACATGTCTTTGTGTCATCATCCACTGTCTCCTGAGCACGTTAGCAGGAAACTGTGTCAGAAGTGGAGAAGCCAGGACTTGAGCTGGCACTCTAGTTTGGGACTGCCCTGCCACAACACCTGCCACAGTCCAGTGTGCACTGAACCTGAGGCACAGGCTGGCCCTGGCGCCTGCTCCGTTGTGCCTCCTCCTCCTGCTTCTCCTGGGCAGCAGGTTCTGGCACTTGCTGCTCTTTGGCTGCACTACTTTGGCAGATGAGGTTCCAGGCCAAGTAGATCATTTGCCTGTTTTGTTGAACCTGGGGCCTTGGCACATGATTATTGCCTTTTTGTGAGAAGCTAGCTTCTTTTATACTGTTCTTTTCAGCTCTGTTGTCTCGAAGAAAGGATACCTGCACTTCAAAGAGCCACTGTCCAGCAACTGGGCCAAGCATTTTGTCGTGGTCCGTCGCCCTTACGTCTTCATCTATAACAGTGATAAAGACCCAGTGGAGCGTGGCATCATTAACCTGTCCACAGCGCAGGTGGAGTACAGTGAGGACCAGCAGGCCATGGTGAAGGTCAGTCCTTCCCAGTCCCAGCCTTTCACTGCCACACAAACCCTTCCCTGAGTCCCAACTGTGGTGTGGACTCTCCTTTCTGTCGGATGACCTTGAATATCAGTGTGAAGTGCGGTGCGTCCTGTGAATGTGGCGGGATTGTCCCTGCAGTAACTTGCTTGTCTGCCTGTGTTTCTTTCAGACACCCAACACCTTTGCTGTGTGCACAAAGCACCGTGGGGTCCTTCTGCAGGCGCTCAATGACAAAGACATGAATGACTGGTTATATGCCTTCAACCCACTTCTTGCTGGCACAATAAGGTAAGAAATTGTCTTTGTGTTTTGTTTCTCTGCTTGGCTTTGGCTCCGGGGCTATCAGCACAAATAGGAAACAAAGTGTTGTAAATAGTTTGAAAGTAGAGGGAGGAGAGACGGAAGCGGAAGGAAGTGCAGTGGTAGGGTGCTAATGAGCCCCTGCTTTCTGGAATCTCAGAGCCTGAAGTGCCTCCCGAAGACGGGTCTGGCCTCACCTGGCTCCGGGGAGTCAGCCTGTCAGACCCCAGGGCTGTCCTGGCCACGAGGAGTGTCTTCGTGGCTCACGGGGTGTGTGAGGGGGACATCGGGAAGGAGGCTCATCCTCTGGCAGCACACACCGACATCTGTCCTGAGCCTAGGGAGACTCCAGCTGCGTTGCATGGGTGAATCTCCCCCTCCATCTATCCTCTTCATAGGCCTGCAGATGGGCTCAAGGGGTCTGAGTAGAGGGAAGATTGGGAGAGCCTAAATGGGCTCCCACCATTCACCCTGTGCTTCAAGGGCCTTGTTAGGGCAGGGTTGCCAGAGTGAGTAAGACTTACTCCCCGAGCCATTGCGCCTGGAGACCTGGGCCTGCCGTGCAAGGGAGGGAGCTGTGAGGAGAGGAACACCTGCACCGGCTTGCTAATGCTGCCCCTCATTTGTCCTCTAGGTCCAAGCTGTCTCGCAGATGCCCGAGCCAGCCGAAATACTGAGTGACTGCTGAGAGCCCTCTCTCACCTCGGGCGATAAAGAAAGTGTTACCTCCCATTCTGTTTGTGACTTGATGGTTCTCCTGTGTGTGGTCTGTGGCTTCACTGCTTCCCTCCTCATCAGCACTTTCCCTGGCTCTCCCGTCCCCATCACCATTGCCCAGTACTCTTTTTTTCTCTGTGCTGAGAATCTTGTTAGTAGCATGTGGCCTAACAAAAGGAAAAAGATTAACACACACACACGATGCCCCAGAGGGGACCCGATGACTTTCCCTGTTATTATCTGGTGTATTCTGGCGTCCTCTTGTGTGCTGGGTCCCCTCACAGCCGCTCTGATGTCTGTACCGCTGTCTGGATACCTTTGTGTCTCAAGGCAGCATACCACTTTGGTGTTGTCTTTTCTGAATGTGATGTCACTTTCCTTTTCTTGGGTGGCTTAGAGACTCAGGAAGGAGACGTCTGGCCTTTTTAGGGCCTGAGAGGACAAGAACGTAATGTTCTCCCGCTGTCTCTTTGCCGTGGCCGATTCCTGCACTTCCATTCAGGGACAAGGCTGTGGTGATCTTGGAAAGGGGACAGCTGCATCCTCTGGGTCAAAATCGGGCTTCTTCAGAGCGTAGCTGTGTGGTTTTCATGCGGTGGGAGAGAGAAGGGAAACCTCTGTAGACCTGGGACCGGGGCTGCTGTGACCCCTTGAGAGGGACGAGGTTGTCAGAGGCCCACGTGTCTCACAGTGGTCGTGAGGGCAGCGGCCAGTGGGAAGCCTGTGCTCTCACAGCAGGGTCCCTGCCCCTTGCGTTTCTCTCAGGCAGCTTCCCATGCTGCCCTTGGCTGTCGTGCTGGTGCTGGTGTGGTTTAGAACTAGTGCGCTGTAATACACAAGTGTCCCACAAGGGGGAGTCTTGCTTGATGGTCCTTGTTGACCTTACAACTATGATCATGCTGGGTGGCGGCTTTGAGTTTGTTGTTGCTTCCCTGAATCAAAGAACTGTAGCTTTCAGTGTGCACCGGGAAGCCGCCTCAACCCACGGCGGTTTTCCTTGGTGCTTCTCACCCTGCACTCGTGAGTATGCAGTCTTGGCAAATTCTGCTTTCTGGATCCCTGGATTAAAACTATCCCCCCATCCTGACTGCAAACAAAAGCAGGTACACCTGCCACGCTGTTGCCTGTACCCTGCCTGTCTCCCCCTCCCTGCCTGTGTAGAAGCATCACCCATGCAGGAGGGAGGAAGCGCACCCCTGACAGTCTCCCCTGCCCGACAGCCCAGGCCGGCCAGCTGCGGGAGACCACCGTAGAGCGTAATTCTTTTCTTTGCTGTCAGTACTGTTACAGGCGGGCATGGGGAAAGCCGCACATCACTCAGCTGCTTTGCCAGTTACCTGGAGTGGTTCTGTGCCGCCCTTGACTTCCCTGTGCCAGTAGCTTCACCATCGCCCCAGCATCCAGGAAAGAATCTGCTCACCCCCGCTTGGGAGCACTGATGGTGTCTCAGGGCTGTGGGCAGCTGGGTTGCTTTCTGCATCGTGCTGCCCAGAGCGTGCTGGAGCCTCACCATCACCAGACCCCTGCTTCCGACTCGCTGGGTGGGCTCATCTCTGAAGAACAGGCTGCAGCTGCACTCCTTGAAATTGCTTCTCAAAAAGGAGAACAGTGCGTCCCAGCGCTGAAGGCCCAAAGGTCAGAGGCCCAGGCAGCGCCCTCCTCTGGAAGGTGTCGGTGATTCAGAGGTGGCTTTTTAGACAGTTCTCTCCTCTCCTTAAACATGAGTCACTAACGGTAATGTTATTTTTCTAAGTGTATGTTGAGTTTTTAATGTAGTTGGAAGTTTCTTCACTGTCGAATGGATGTAGTAAGCCCTTCTGGTGTATTCCTCAAATCCAGCAGGATCTGTTCATGCTTAGAGACAGCTTCCTGGCTGGAATTAAATCTGATTTCAGGGAAATGAAAATGGGATTGGAAGGTCACTGTTAGAATTGATCACTGCTGTTGCTGCTGCTAAGAAGTTGGACAGAGGAGCCACAGCGGGGGGTGGGGTACTGAGGGCTTGACATGCATGACGCTGACTTTGGTTTTTTCTTCTAACTCCACATTGGTTTGAAAAGTCTTTGCTTTGGAAGCTTTAGATGCTAGAACAGCCAGACTGTACCGTCTAGTTGCAGTGTGCCCGAGGGAAAGACTAGGGACCCCAGGCAGATGTGCACGCACCGTGTGAGGACCCTGCTGTGGCTGCTGGGCAGACTGCCCTCTTGGACCCCACTTCTCTAGAGGCACATTTCCAAGTTGCAGCTGAAGCAGGTTCCGGAAAAGGCCACCACCACGGTGCTGCTCTGGGACAGGCTGTGTGGCAGGAACTGCTGAGGAGGCCACAGTGACAAAAAGGCCAAGAGCCTAAGCTTACGGAAACCGCCTGTTAGGGGATTTTTAGTTTTTAAAAAGCACTCCTTTATACAAGCAAAAAATGCCTGAAAGAAAACTTAGACAAATCACATAGAAATGAATGCTAATGAAAACATCTCCTCCTCCCACTGCCCCCGCCTTTCCCTGCCAGAGTGAACCGAGGCCTCACAAGCAGTGCCCACACTGGAGCTCCGCCTGGCCTGCGTCTGCCCCTGCCTGGGAGTCAGTCAGCTCTCAGGTGCCTGCGGGCCGGCAAGCCCTGCACAGGGAGCGCAGGCCAGCGCTGCTGCCGGGCGGCCGAGGGCCCCTGAACCCCGGCCCACGTCAGATGAGGCGAAGGCAAGGGAAGCTGCTTTCTCCCACCTGCAAACCCGTTACTGGATATACTCCCTCCAGCAACTAAAACTTCTGCGGCTACTCGTTTTTTGTGTGTTTTTGGCTTGTATCAAATAAAGGGACAAATTAAATCATTCTGATCTGGGGATCTAAAAACAAGAGGACTTCTGGCGCATGTTTCAAAGCAAAGACTTCCAGAGCTACTAACGTGTGTGAGGACGTGCGGGTGGATGCAGCTTGGGCACTGCAAACTGGGCCACGGCGCTCCCCGCTGCGCCTCTCGGGCTCCCTGGGACGGGTCTGCTTCATCTGTGGGTTGGACTTGGGTCTTTCAGTTTTCCTCTGGGTTTCCTTTCTAAAATGTGATTGTTAACCTGCTCCTGAGAACAGACTAGCCGGCCGCTGCTCGCAGAGGCTCTAACGTGTGTGCCCTGCATCCGTGCCACATGGCCAAAGCATTCTCCTGGGCGAGAGGGCCGCAGTGGCCTGGGTAGAGCACGCACGCGTTCACCGTGCTTCCTCAGCAAACTGACGCATCGGCCGAGAGATCAGCTGCTGCCACTGTTCAAAAGGCCATTTATGAAGTTACAGTTTGAGCACACTGAAATCTTAAGCAAGCCCCCATTTAAAGGAAGAAATTAGAGCTAATACAAAATTCATGTTAACGCACAGACAAAAGGCACTCAGATGGGAAGTCCGAGCTGAGGCTGGTCTCTCGCCAGACCCTGGCTGTTGTGTGTGGTTTCTCATGTCTTGAGTTCATTGTTTTCATGCCGTGTATTCTGGCATCAGCTCCCCTGAGGAATCCACCAGCCTTCTCGTGTGTACGCATCGTCTTAGACTCTGTGGCTCTAACGTCCTTGTCTGTCGAGATGCAAGTCTCTCGTCACCATCCTTGTGCACTCCCACAAGCCCGTGAAGCATAAGTGGCCTTTTTGAACCAAGACTTTACAAACCGATCTCCCCCAGTGAAGGAGTTGAGCACATTAGCAACAATGTACATTATTAATTTTGGATTTTCATTTTCATGTTTTATTTTGTAAATACTATCTGATGTTTGGAGCTTGAGTATACAGAATGTAAATATAGTTCTTGTATTTGTACTAATTCGGGTTCTTTTGCTGTATAGCCTAGCTGTGCAATGCAGACATTATCTAACTGTGTATGGTAACCTTGCACCACAGAACTGTTAGTGAACGAGGTAAAAATAATAAAGGTACAACCAGTGCATCAGAAGGCTCTTCGTGTGCATTTATTCCTACACCCTCTGCAAAATGATTACACATTTTTTCTTGATTTGCAAAGATAGTGCTTTCTTTTCCAAAGTCATGATGTTGTGACCTACACATTGTTATTGTTAGGATATTCAAAACAGATTTTTTAAATGAAATTCAACCTATTTATTTGTTGGTTATTTATGTGTCTGATATTGGAGCTAAGAAACCTTTGTCTCATACAAGGTCGTGGAGGTACATCAATGCTTCCTTCTAAGAGTTGGAGGACTTTATATTTTACATTTAGGTCTTCTATCCATTTTGAATAAATTTTTTATGTCCTGTGTGAGGTAGAAGACCAAGTCTGTTACTGCTCATGGAGATACCCAGGTATCCCAACACCCTCTGTTGAAAAAACTGTTCTTTGCTCCCATTCCATTGTTTTGGCACCGCATTGAAAATCAGTGACCACAATGTGTGAGTGGTAATGATTGTGCTCAGCCAGCGTTCGTGCCCCAGCAGCCCTGAACCCATCTCTGGACTCACACTGCGACCCTGGCGCTTGTCTCAGTGTGGCCTGGGCCACGTTTCCCCACAGGAATTCAGGTCTCCCATACTCTGACCAGCTCAGGGATCAGAAGATGCAACTGCTTTGTTTCTCTGCTTTCTGTTTTAATTTCCCTAGTTTTAGTTCTTTCTTTTCTCCTACTAGTTTTAGGTTTGGTTTGCTGTTGTTTTTCTAGATCCTTGAGATGCACTGATAGCTCATTTATTTGGTGCCTTTCCAATTTCTTGATGTAAGCACCAATTGCTATAAACTTTCCTCTTAATACTGCTTTTGCTGTATCCCATAAGTTGTGATATGTTGTACTGTGATGTTCATTTGTTTCCAGAAATTTTTAAATTTTTCTTTAGATTTTTTCTGTGACCCACTGCTCATTCCGGAGCGTGATGTTCAGTCTCCATGTTTGCATATGCTCTAGAGATTCCTGAGTTGCTGATTTCCATCTTCATTCCATTGTGGTCCGAGAAGATGCGTGGTATGATTTCAGTTTTTTTGAATTTGCTGAGACTTGCTTTATGGCCTAGCATGTGGTCAGTCCCAGAGAAAGTTCCACACTGGTGAGAAGAATGTATATTCTGCAACCGTACATGAAAAGTTCTGTAGATACCTGTTAGGTCCATTTGGTCTGTAGTGTCAATTAACTCTGTGGTTTGCTTGCTGATTTTCTGTCTGGTTGATAGGTCCATTGCTGAAAGTGGGATATTGAAGTCTCCCATTACTATTTGTTTTTTTTGTTTTGTTTTGTTTTGTTTTGTTTTTGTTTTTTTTGACAGGCAGAGTGGACAGTGAGAGAGAGAGACAGAGAGAAAGGTCTTCCTTTGCCGTTGGTTCACCCTCCAATGGCCGCCGCGGCCGGCGCGCTGCACCGATCCGATGGCAGGAGCCAGGAGCCAGGTGCTTTTCCTGGTCTCCCATGGGGTGCAGGGCCCAAGCACCTGGGCCATCCTCCACTGCACTCCCGGGCCACAGCAGAGGGCTGGCCTGGAAGAGGGGCAACCGGGACAGAATCCGGCGCCCCGACCGGGACTAGAACCCGGTGTGCCGGTGCCGCTAGGCGGAGGATTAGCCTAGTGAGCCGCGGCGCCGGCCTCCCATTACTATTGTATTGGAGTTTGTGTCTCCCTAAGATTCCTTAACATTTCTTTTAAATAGCCAGGTGCCCTGTAATTAGATGTATATGCATTTATAATAGTCACATCTTCCTTTTGAATCCCTTAATCATTACATAGTATCCTTCTTTGTATCTTTTAACAATTTTAGTGATAAAGTCTAATTTGTCTGACATTAGGATGGCTATACCAGCTCTTTTTTGGTTTCTGTTAGCATGGAATATCTTTCTATCCTTTCACTTTCAGTCTGCATGCATCTTTGTTGGTGAGATGTGTTTCTTGTAGGCAGCAAATAGATGGGTTTTGTTTTTTAATCCACTCAGCCAGTCTGTGTCTTTTAAATGGAGAGTTGAGGCCATTTACATTCAAGGTGACTATTGATAAGTAATGACTTTGCCCTGCCATTTTTCCAAAAATATTCCTATTTTTTACTTTGAATTTCCTTTGAACTTTTACCGAGAGATTTTCTTCCTTTACCTTCTTTTGTAGTGATGACCATGTTTCTGTGTTTCTGTGTGCAGCATATCCTTAAGCATTTGTTGTAAGCCTAGACAGGTGGTGACAAATTCTTTCAATGTCTGTTTGTTATGAAAGGTCTTTATTTCACCTTCATCCATAATGAGAGCTTTGCAGGGTACAGTATTCTGAGTTGACAGTTTTTGTCTCTTAAGACTTGGAAGTGCCGGCTCTGTGGCACAGCGGGTTAATACCCCAGCCTGCAGCACCAGCATCCCATATAGGCACCTGTTCAAGTCCCGGCTGCTCCACTTCCGATCCAGCTCTCTGCTGTGGCCTGGGAAAGCAGTAGAAGATGGCCCAACTCCTTGGACCCCTGCACTCAAGTGGGAGACCTGGAAGAAGCTCCTGGTTCCTGGCTTAAGATCAGCTCAGCTCTGGACATTGTGGTCATTTGGGCAGTGAACCAGTGGATGGAAGACCTTTTGCTCTCTGGATCTGCCTCTCTCTGTAACTGTCTTTCAAATAAAATAATTCTTTGGAAAAAAAAAAAAAAGACTTGGAATATGTCACACCATTCTCTCCTAGCCTGTAGGGTTTCTGATGAGAAGTCAGCTGTGAGTCTAATTGGAGATCCTCTGAAAGTAATCTGACATTTCTCTCATGCACATTTTAGAATCTTTATGTTTTTCTGTGGAGAGTTTGATTACAATGTGTCGTGGTGAAAATCTTTTCTGGTCATGTCTGTAAGGAGTTCTATGTGCTTTCTTTACTTGGATGTCCCTTTCTTTCTCCAAATTAGTGAACTTTTTCTGTTATTATTTCACTAAAAAGGCCTTCTAATCCTTTCTCTCTTTCCACACTTTCAGGAGCTCCTAGAACCCATATGTTGGCTCATTTGATAGTATCCTGTAGATTCCCAACAGTGTTTTTTAGTTTTCTAATTTATTCTTGTTTTTTGTCTGACTGCAATCTCCTGCAGTTTGTCTTCTAAGTCAGATATTCTTTCTTCTGCTTCACCAATTCTGTTGTTAAGACTTTCTGTTGCATTTTTTTATTTGTTCCATTGAATTCTTCATTTCCAAGATGTCATTTTGCTTTCTCTTTAAGATCTCAATTTCGTGGGGGAAATTTTCTTTCATGTCACATACAGATTTAATTAGTTCATGCACTTGCTTCTGATTACTTCTAAGGAATCCTATGATCAATTTTTTGAATTCCATTTCTGGTGTTTCTTCAGTCTCATCTTCACAATCTAGTATTGTGTTGTGTTGGGCAGTTTGGGGGTGTCATGTTGTCTTCCTCATTCTCGTTTCTTGAATTGGTGTGTTGATTATTCGGCATGTGTGGAGATACTCATTGATTTCTTTTTTTTTTTTTTTTTTTCTGTGGTAGCTTTTATCTTTGGACTGTGTTTGTGTCAAAACAGAGATTTTTTTTTATGCTCAAGAAAGCTGGGCTGATGTTGTTTCTTTGAAAGTGCTTTCCTCCCGAGTATGGTAGTGGCCATTTTAGCTGGAAGATGTGTCGTGTCTCCCTCGAAGCCTGTGATACCGTGTGTAGTGTCTTGTTTTAGGGGTAGTGATAGAATTTGAAGAGCTCAGTGTGCCAGCTTCGTTTGCCAGCTCCTGTTGTGAGCAGAGCAGGACAGGGGCCTGTGTGCTGGGTACCTGGGGAGGCGCGACCCCCCAGGCCGATGTCAGCCTCCTTTCACCTGCCATCTCCACCCCGTGCACTTTGTGCTTCTTGGGTGCTGATGATTCTGCAGCAAACAGAGGAAGCCCTGCCTTGGGCCTAGTGATGAAGGCTTCAGTCGGGAACCCCACCTTCCATGTCAGAACGCCGGGGAGGGAGGCCCAGCCGCACTCCCGGTCTCAGTTTCCTGTTGTAAACCCTGGGAGGCAGCAGGTCATGGCTCAGGTATTTGGGGTCCTGCCTGCCATGTGGGAGATCTGGACTGAGGTCCCAGCTTCCAGCTTCTGCCTGGCCCAGCCCTGGTTGTTAGAGGTAGTTAGGGAATGAGCCAGTGGATGGTAGCTCTCTGTCTGTCTCTCTCATCTCTTTGCCTCTCAAAATAAATTTTAAAAAATTCTGATTTCTGAGTAGGAAACAACTAGGGAGGTGGTGGGGGATAGGAGTGAAGAAGGGAGACAAAATAGAAGCCCCTAGGAGAAATGATGGTGCTTAGTCTAAGGCAGGGATAGTATAGGCTGGGAGATATAGCCAGATTCAGGATATGGAGATATATATATGTGTGTGTGTGTGTGTGTGCATACATATACATATATAGAAATTGTTTAAAGGTTTATTTGAAAAGAAGAGTTACAGAGAGGCAGAGAGATCATCCATCTGCTAATTCACTCCCTAAATGTCACAATGGCCAGGGCTGGGCCACGCTAAAGCCAGGAGCCAGAAACCTCATCCAGGTCTCCTGCATGGGTACAGGGGCCCAAGCACTAGGACCATCCTCCACAGCTTTCCCAGGTGCACTAGCAGGGAGCTAAATTGGAAGTAGAGCGGCCTGGACACCAACAGGGATGCCAGCACTGCAGGCGGCAACTTTTCCTGCTGTGCCACAACACCAGCCCCAGGATATGTTTTGAAGTTAGAACTAACACTGGCCGGTGCCATGGCTCACTAGGCTAATCCTCTGCCTGTGGCGCCGGCACACCAGGTTCTAGTCCCGGTCGGGGCACCGGATTCTGTCCCATTGCCCCTCTTCCAGGCCAGCTCTCTGCTGTGGCCCGGGAGTGCAGTGGAGGATGGCCCAAGTGCTTGGGCCCTGCACCCATGGGAGACCAGGAGAAGCACCTGGCTCCTGCCTTCGGATCAGTGCGGTGCGCCGGATGCAGCACGCCAGCCGCGGTGGCCATTGGAGGGTGAACCAACGGC